TATATATATATGTGTGTGTTTGTTTGTGTGTGTGTGTATGTCCTGAAATGCCATATGTACCCAGAAGCGTGTTGAGTTGTGTAACGTAATGAAATGTTAGCCCATTCCTTCTTTGCACTTGACCTGTTGTCCAGCTCTCACTGTAGAAAATACACCTCAAAACACACCATACATACACACCTGCCTGAGTCCAAACACGCACACACGCAAAGCTTAGAAAACCAATTGTTGCGCTGGTATCATCATCCACTATTCCAGCTTATAGTGCTCCTTTCTCCTTTTGAATTCCATTACACATGCACATATACACACTGTAAAAAGTGTGAGTCCCTTGTGTATTGTAACAGTAACGGTAGTGACAGTGAGAGCGACTTAGTGCATCCCAAGAGTACATCTGATAATTACTATCATATGCTCCACTGACTTAGTAATGGAGCTTTTCCACTGTGTCCCACCTTGTCCTCCTTTTTCCCTTTTACTCTCGCCTCTCCTGCTGTCGGAATAAACTGAATCTAATGCATATTGCTTGTTTTGTTAAAGGAAGGCGAGAGTGGTGTAACCTGGAGAGACCTTGTCTTCTTTTTTCCCTCCTTTATAACCTTTTTTCCAATTTCAATCTCCTCTTTTCATCTCAACTTCTATTTTATAGCACTCATTCGCTCCTGCGACCCTCCCTACTTCCTTTGCCTTAATGGAAAAAACTACCCGCTATCTAGTGATGAGAGACCACCTCTTATTAGAGATCCAGAGGCGTCTTATCAGACTGCTCTGTGCAGTAATAGAAAATACGGCACAGCATTTAGTCGCTGACAGCTGCTGTGCCTGTGTCTAACTGCGTCAAGGTTTCTCTTCTCCTGCGTCGCCTCTGTGTGTGTGTATGTACGGAGCTCTGCTGTTTCTCTGAGCTACATCCTTATCAGTTTATCAGACCTGTCCACTTAATTTGATGCTGGATCAGAGGACACACACGCACACACACAGAGGAGGAGGAATAAAAGTTAGTGTTTTTGTGTTACTAGTTTTGTGTGAGATGTTTTGTAGATGCTCAGCTACTTTGTGTTAGTGTAAATTATTTACTTCCAAAACCTCCAGGCTCTCTTCCCTCTTCCTTCCACTGCACAGCCATGTCGGTTTCGTACCACCCATACACACGCACAGTGTATTGTATATTTGGCCACAAATTTGATCTCTGTTCACATGTGTGGAACTTCCCCATTTAAATACTCTGAGAATTGTGAGAAAACCTTTGGTCCTGTAATGACCTGTATACTAAGAAAAGCTGTTTGAGGGCCAGTTGCTTTTCTGAGCCACATGCTGCAGGGCAAGGGGCAGCACAGGTGGGGTTAGAGGGACTGACATACCTTACTAATTGTATATGGCCTCCATCCCTCCTTCCTCTCAGTGTGTGCGTGCTTCATGGTGCACTATAGTTTGGAAAATTGCTGCCAAGATGTATGTTTTTGAAGTCGACCTTTGCCTCACAGTGTCCAAGCCAGGGTTGGGTTTTACCTTTCAAAGGATAGCTGTTGTGCTAGGCTCAAGGGCACATTTCAAAGTGCTTTCTGTGTGTTGGAATGTAAAAAATCATAATTCAAAATGATAATCAGTGACTTCTTATAACTCAGAGATACTGTAGTTTAGCTACATTTTCTATATTGGCAACATATATAGTGAAGTATTGATTCAGCCTACACCTAGCTCATAAAATAGTTCAGATTTGTTGTTTAAACCCACAGGGGAATAAGCCTTTCCACACAGAAATCCATTGCTGCAGAGGAAGTGCATTTTACTTTTGTGGCAGCAGCAAGAGTAGTTTCCTTGAAGTAAATAGAAGTTGTAAGCTTCATCTTCATGCCTCTGAATCATAAGAAAAAGGTTCCTCAACACAGGTTGCTTCCTGTATGTTTAATTTTTGAGCTAGGTGGCCATATTTGTTTTCTTTTTTAAAAGCATGCTTACACAATCTCAAAGAGAATCTTACCAAATGATGTATTATTGATGTTTTTCAGGCATGAAACAGGTAAAATCAGCTGCAGCAGGGCTGCTGCGATGAAAGAAACTATGATCCACCCACTGTTCACCTTTTGTTAAATATCAGAAAAGTAACTGACTGTGGCATTTTCAGTATTCTGTGGATGACATTTTTCTGCAAGCGGGGACTTTCCAGGTTTGACTGATAGATGGTATGAGTCATCTTCTCTCCACTGTGTGATGGACCTATCAGTGAGTTCCAGCTTAGCTCAGGGGAGTTTGTCAGGCTTGGCTGATGTTAGTGATGGGACATCTTTCTCTGCTTGGGGCTGTGTGTGTGTGGTTATAAGAGGTCATGCATACATTCCATAGTGCCTGTTCACAGTGGTGTGCAGCTGTTAACAGCATTACGCACTGAGTATTTGTTTGTGTAGGATTGCTGGATGTTATTTTCTGTCCCTGAAATAAAAGCGTGACCCCAGGTAAAGCATTTTTACTGCATTCATCACACAGACCCATATTTTCTCAAGCACTTAAAGACATGCTTACC